TGGTTTTAACAGTAATGTTAAAATATTTTATACATGTGCACAGGCAGAAACTGCAGTATACCGAACCATATATGTTGGTTATTTGTTCCGGGATTATTAACCACAGTTCCTCTTTGGCTGGCACTTCGTTACAAGCCTGTGTAATTGAGGACTTATTGTGTTGCAATTTTAACCCTTTTTTTATTTTGCTTTTGCTCCCAAGTATGTAGAATTTTGCAGGATCCAGTTCAATTGGTACAATGTCCTGTTTGTCACACCTGAACCTCTGCAAGCCTCAGACGGCATTATAACCATGTAGGACATTCTAATTGAGTCCTACCCAGTCTTGACCTCACACTCAGCCTTTCCACCCAATTGTGGATGAAAGTCATAAAAATAAACTTTGGTTAATTTTTATTTCCTTCACTGTGGGCTTGGAGGCCAACTGGAGGAAACTAACCAACCAATCATACCAGTTCATTCTGCACCAACCTGAACCCATAATACAATGCACCACACTGGATGATATATTTACATATTAAGCCATTGGGAGCATTCTAGGCACATTGTAATGCAATCTTTTTGCATGCTTTTTTTGCTCTGAAATTATACCAGGCACACACAGTATATTCCTACATTACAGCACATAATAACTCATTAGGCTAATACTTGCCCATCCTGAAAGCAACTACAAAGCTTTGTTCAGAGGAGAAAATTTAGATAAAAGTTTTGCGTTGGCAGTTTGCTAAAAGCAAAAAAAAAAGGGGTTTTAATTGATATTAATGCTTCAATTTCCACTCACATTGTTAGCACAAGGCCTTATTTATAATCTACACGAACTCTGCAGCATAATCTGCAATCCATCAACCTCATTAATCCATCAGAATTTGGTTTCGACAGCCAAGGACAAATGATTAAATTGCCACTGTTACTGTAATTAACATGATAACTTTTCTTGGAAAATAAACATATTGTACCAATCTGTATATTAACACACCCTGCCTGTATTTAGCATGTTCTTGCAGATAATTTGTTGCAACAATGTGCAACTGTTACTTAGGAACTCAACACAGCAGCTGATTACAGCTGAATGAGCAATGTGGCAATAAAAACTTAGAAATGAATTAGTGTATTACAGAAACACATGTGTCTTCACAATTAATAAATTCCACTCCATCAAATTGTGATTTAATTATGCATTATGTATGTTAGGCATGAATCATTCATGTGCCTTATTACCCAAGTGGGAAAATAGCAAATAGACAAATCAACAGGATTCAGAACTGCTTTGTGTCAAATATAACAGTGTGAATAATCATCTTTAAACCAAAAACCTACAACTGATAGTAAATCTAATACACATTAAATAAGGTTTATATGAAACTGGTCAAGTTTAAAGGTAATCACTGGCACAGTAAGTAAACATGCAGCAGTAACAGGTCTTACTATGCACCAGTATATAAAAAATGCTCAGACTCTGAATGACTAACTCTGAATATTAGTGCTGCAAAAATGGAAAGCAAACAGCTAACACTGTGCATGAAGAGTAAAAGATGGAAAAGATAAGAGAAAGGAAAGCCTCAATAGAAAAATAGAAAGCAAGATAGGAAAAATAATGTACTTTTACAGTACCTATCGTAACTTTAGAACATTCAAAAGCACTTTACAGTCAATTAAATCCTATTGAAGAGTAATCAGTGTTGTAAAGTCAGAAACACGGCAAACAATCTGCACACAAGCTCTCCCAAACTGCCATATGATAATTTTTCATTAATCGTTTTTTTACTTGTCATGATGACTAAATATTGCATAGGATAACTGGAAGAATTACCCTGCTTTTCTTGAAAATGTCATGGGATCTTTTAATGCCAACTTGAGGGATAAGAAAATTTCTCCGTTCAGCATCTTATCTGAATTGATGGCACCTCTGATAATGCAGCACTCCCTCAGTATTACAGTGGAATGTTAGCCTAGATACCTGTGCTCAATTCCTCAAGGGGAACTTGGTCACAACGTTCTGACACAGGGACAAGTATGCTAAGCTATGGTTGACACCTGAAATACTGCATATCTCCCACTTTAAGGTACTGCCAATTGGACCTGTTAACTGTAAAATTAATCATGACACAAAAGCAGTTTTAGATTGTAGCTACGGCTGAAACACAAAATGCATTTGCCTTTGTTAGTCACTGGCATTTTAAAGGCAGAGAAATAGCAACTAAGGAATATACCCCGATATCAGCTCCTTACAACCGAGTCAAAAGCAGCAACCATCAACCATCCTTGGAAGGACTAACTCCCTCAATGAGGTTTGCAAAAGTTTAGGGCATGAAACCAATTTCCTTAAAACTTCACATAGCACCATGCGTTTTTACAGTCATAGAGTTGTACAGCAATGGAAACAGGCCCTTCAGTCCAACTTGTCCACGCCAACCAGATATCCTAAATTAATCTAGTCCCATTTGTCAGCATTTGGCCCATATCCCTCTAAACCCTTCCTATTCATGCACCCAGCCAGATGCCTTTTAAACGTTGTTATTGTACCAGCCTCTACTTCCTCTCACAGCTCATTTCATACACACACCACCCGCTGTGTGAAAAAGGTTGCCCCTTAGGTCCCTTTTCAATCTTTCCCTTCTCACCTTAAACCTATGCCATCCCCCAACCCCGTTTTGTTAAGTGAACAAAATTAAATTTAAGAATCAATAACTAATTAAATGCTAAAGTCCATTTTTATTGGCCTTCTAAGTCCTGGGTGAGAACTGTTAATCCACGGGGTGATAAAGTGGCTCAGTGGTTAGCACCACTACCTCACAGTGCCAGGGACCTCGGTTTGATTCCAGCCTTGGGTGACTGTATGTGTGGAGTTTGCACATTCTCCCTGTGTTTACGTGGGTTTCCTTTAGGTGCTCCGGCTTCCTCTCTCAGTCCAAAGATGTGCAGGTTAGGTGGATTGGCCAGGCTAAATTACCCATAATGTCTAATATTGTGCAGGTTAGGTGTGTTAGCCATGGGAAATGCAGGTATAGGGTAGGAGGGTGGGTCTGGGTAGGAGGGTAGGTCTGTGTTTGGTGCTTTTCGGAGAGTCAAATGACCTGCTTCCACACTGTTGGGATTCTATGATTGTTTTGATAGACTAGAAAATAGTACAGTACCAAATGGGCAAATGATCCAGGACAATAGCACACATCTATAGCACTTTTCTCCCCTCTGCTGCAGAGGATACTGCCACTAGTCTTTATATTTGCAGATGGTATCCCCATCCAATACGTCATTCATGCCCTCATTTGTGAACATTTGTGGGCTGTTCATCCATTTTGAAAGGTGAGGTGAGGGGAGAGGTTGCATTGTATGCTGAAGTTGATCCAATCTTCCACTGCCACCAAAACACAACACAACAGAGACACACAAACACACACACTTTCCAGCAGGAAGTTTTTGGATAGTAACCTGCAGTAGTAATCCTTTCGCCTCCAGCCATATAGCTAGAACCAGAGCCTGTGTCACTCCACCAGCTCACAGAGAATCAGCACAAATGGAGGTTCCACCCTGCACCCTTTCTGATTTGCGTGGCTCAATTCTACAATGCCCCAAGCACTGACCAACTGACATTAGGAGAGATCTGCAGCCAATATTTTAAGAAAAGCCTCAGGCAGCTGCCTTTGAATTTTTAATGACAGAGTAGAGATGAGTACCCCATCTATTAACTTTGATTATTAACTGCGACCTGTGCACAGGCATTTTCCGACTGCATTGAGATTGTGGAATTAGGTAGGAGTACATAATTACGGTTTTGGGGATACATTAAACCCCTGGTTTTGTTGCTGGACATCATCTAAATATAAACAAAGTCCAAATATTCGTATTTGATTTTTGTTAATTGTTTCATGCTTATTCCCAGTTAAATTTTATTCCAACAGCACACTTACTGACCATTTGATTTCTAAACCATCTGTACTGTATAAATTAATTAATGAAATTGGTCAGCACTTGTCACGTAATTAACACTTCTCAGAAATACCACTGTAATCGATACATGCAGAATTGTGGTTACATTCACATTTTTGTCAATTATTGCCAGTGAAGCAAATGAGACTAGTCGTCGACACATCAGATCACCTCAATGGATTCAAACAATTTGATGTAAAAACAGCAAACACTGGTAATACCCAGCAGGTCAAACAGTTACTGTGAAGAGAAAAAATAAGTAGTTAATGTTTCAGTTCAACAATCTGTTGTTCTGTATGATCTAGAGCAGCTAGAGATAGATTATCTCAAAGGCAAAATAAAATTGTTTTCAATTGTGTTTGAAGAAAGCATTGTAGATATACTGAATTTTCACTTTGATTGTGAAATAACTTATTTTTAACACTGCATTTCTACCTGTCAGAGTTTCTTTATTTGATTCGGTTGATTCCAGAGTTGAGAGGGTTGGATTATGAGGACAGACTGAGTAGACTGGGATTATACTCATTGGAATTCAGAAGAATGAGGGGAGATCTTATAGAAACATATAAGATTATGAAGGGAATAGAGAAGGTGGAGGCAGGGAGGTTGTTTCCGCTAGCAGGTGAAACTAGGACTAGAGGGCATTGCCTCAAAATAAAGGGAAGCAGATGTAGGACTGAGGTCAGGAGGAACTTCTTCACCCAAAGGGTTGTGAATATGTGGAATTCCCTGCCCAGTGAAGCGGTTGAAGCTACCTCGCCGAATGTTTTTAAGGCAAGGCTAGATAAATTTTTGAACAGTAAAGGAATTAAGGACTATGGTGAGTGGGCAGGTAAGTGGAGCTGAGTCTCAAAAAGATCAGCCATGATCTTATTAAATGGCGGGGCAGGCTCGAGGGGCCAGATGGCCTACTCCTGCTCCTAGTTCTTATGTTCTTATGTTTTTATTTCACAGAGAATTCCAGACAACATGATATATCCTGATTAAACTAATCTACAATACTTGCTTCCCACCCCAATGGCTGCTGGATGAGTGTACTTGCAGCAGCAATCATGAGGAAGCAACATTCTCACCTTCTGCAACTCCAGAGGTTTTGTATACTTCTGCCAGTAGGTGGAGAAGATGATCATTGCAATGTAGAGACAAGCCACTGGGATTGACTTCAAATTCAGAAAACGGATATAAAAGCTCCCTCCGGTGGTCAACTCCGGATTAACAGACTGCAAGTTTTCCATGGCTGGCGGCTGAAAAATCAATGTGTAAACTGATTAACTGAGAGTTGGGCACTATGTAGAAGCTGCTTTTATGTACACTTTATAGTAAAATAATTCCAATACTCAAAAAGGTAATCAGCTCATTTTCAACTGTTATTCTTAGGAACTCACTATTTACAAAATCAAACTTACCTCTGACCCGGTCAGGACTTGCACTTAAGCAGTGCCTATCTTAAACTTATGATGGCCCAAAGTACTTTACAATCAAGCAAATGCTTGCAAAATGTGGTCACTGTTACAGGGAAGCCAGTGGAAGATGCAAAAAATATTCCAAAGTAAGTGGGGAACAAACGGTTGAGTGAGAAAAGGGAATGAAAGGTTGAGTGAGAATGAGGAACTTACAGAAATTAGTATGAGCACAGAAATAGAATTGGAGAAATTAATGTGACCAAAAGAAGAACGATGTCCTGAAACACACAGGCTACATCCGAGGATTTAAAACAGATACCTCTAAGAGAGAGTAGATACATTCAGGAGCAAGATCTGAAAATTAGTGGCTAAAGATAAAATGGTCCAAATTATATTTGAACAAAGATTCATTGAATAATAACACTGTTAATGATGTGTAATGAATGCACAAGGCTGCTTCAAATGTGTAGAAATATTTGTTTTCCCTTTATTTACTTTCTGTATCAAGAATGTGGACAAATGTATTTGCATCAAATCAACAAATGCTGACCTCAGCATTCCAAGATTTCAGCATTTAATCATCAGTATATCATAGAATTATGAACACTGAATTAATACTTAACACCAGACATAACCTTGAAAATTTATTCATAAATCTGTGATCATTTGTTTGATGTCCCCATGGCTTCAGTGGAACCATTGGTGGTATTTTGCTCCTTCTCTGCCTTTCTTCAAGCTTCCTTCAGTGTTACCATCATCCCTTTGACATTTCCCTCCTCATCTGATTAATTTCTTCAACTGCTCTTTCCATTTTATGCTGGGACAAGACAGAGAGATGTACTGTGAGCCTGTATCTCTGGCTGAGGGCAAGGTGCAGAAAGGCAAGGCAGAGCTGCTAGAGCAACCAGGTTCGCTCGAAGTAAGTGATCAATGACAGGGAGCAAAGAGCCTGGACTTGCAGCCTGGTCCAGCCCATGAGCTGGGCTTGACCCCCTCACCACACGGTGTCCTTGCTGCAGCATTGCAGTGAAAGTTTCCAGTGCAGCAGCGAAGGGATAAGCTCCTGTAAGTGGATTGGAGATGAGCCATGAGGGTTCTTAGAGGCTGCCACATTTCAGATGCCAGTGTTCATAGACCTGGGGTATGTGCGGCCAGTACCCATAGACCATGCCCTGAGATGTTGATGCCTAGTTTCCAACATGTAGCTCCTTTGGAGGAAGTGGTGAGCTGATCTTTGTTTCCAATATCTGTACATGGCTGTCTTTTCTCTCTTTAATGGTCCTTAACAACTGAAATAACTCCACAGAGGCCGGTATCCTGTCACCAAGTCACCCTTTATTTACAGGGGGGACAGTTCTTGATACTGGTCCAGCTTCCTCAGGGCCAACTCTCAGAGTGAACAAAATGTCAGGAAACCCATATTCTAAGAGGTCCACCTGGCTGACCTTGTTATAATTGGTACAATAACCCCATTGATTCCTGAATTCTCCCCTTGATCTAACCCAGCTATTTGTCTCTCTGTCTCTTGGTGCCCATCAGTTCGCAACAAACAACTACACCTCCCAGTTGCGAACCATTTCAACTCCCCCTCCCACTCCTTGGACGACATGTCCATCCTGGGCCTCCTGCATTGCCACAATGATGCCACCTGCAGGAACAGCATCTCATATTTCGTTTGGGAACCCTGCAGCCCAAGGGTATCAATGTGGACTTCACAAGTTTCAAAATCTCCCCTCCCCTGACCACATCCCAAAACTATCCCAGCTCGTCCCCGCCTCCCTAACCATTCCTCCCACCTCAAGCCCCACCCCCATCTCCTACCCACTAACCTCATCCCGCCTCCTTGACCTGTCCGTCCTCCCTGGACCGACCTATCCCTTTCCTAACTCCCCACCTACATTCACCTTTACTGGCTCCATCCCCGCCTCTTTGGCCTGTCTGTCTCCTCTCCCCTTATCTTCTCCTTTATCCATCTTCTATCTGCCTACCCCTCTCTCCCTATTTATTTCAGAATGCCCTTCCCCTCCCCCATTTCTGAAGAAGGGTCTCAACCAGAAACGTCAGCTTTCCTGCTTCTCTGATGCTGCTTGGCCTGATGTGTTCATCCAGCTCTACACCGTGTTATCTGCACATTTACTTTCCTGGGTCTCAGCTACAAGTGCAGAAGATGCAGCAGCTGATTCTTGGAGGGACAGAAGACACTATCTTGTTAGGATTGAATGACATGGGCTGCGGTGCAAAATGTGGGATATGTTCATCGAAGCTTATCTCAACATTGGGAGCAACTTGCTGCATCGTTTAACCAAGTTCTAGGTAACGAGGCAAGATTCTCACTAGGTAGCAGCATGTTGCTGACTAAGGGGGATCATTGCTTGATAAAACTGAAGACCTTGTCTCATTAACATGCGGTATTCTATCATGCTAGGCGAGCAAGCAAGGCACTAAGAATTCTCGACGTGGAAGGCAGAGAGAGTACCTGCTGACTTCGGCCCACTCCAAAGGAGCTGCATGTCGGAAACAAAACACCAACATCTCAGGGCATGGGTGCTGGTACACATACCTCACATCCATGAACAATGGCACCTGAAATGTGGCTGCATCTAGGAACCCTCATGACTCATATCTGATCCACTTACAGGAGCTTATGCACTTCACTGCTGCATCACTGCAATGCTGTAGCAAGGACACTGTGTGGTCAGGGGGGACACACCCAGCTCATGGGCTGGACTAGGCTGCATCTTCAGGCTCTTTGTTCTCTGTCACTTGCTCACTTACTTCGAGCGAACCTGGTTGCTCTAGCAGCTCTGCCTTGCCTTTCTGCACCCTGCCCCTCAGTGAGAGGCACCAGGCTCACAATCCTTGCCATTTAGCTCAAACATAAAGCCAGGAAGCTTGTCACAGTTGTCAGCAGTACTCAGTTAAGTGGAGGAAAACAGCCTTCAGTCAGGGTGTTCCAGCACAGTAAGTCAAAGATATTCTCTGATACCAGTCCAGAGACTCAGATACAGCCAGTTAGACACTCAGGGTGTTCTGAGACAGGAACCTCCCCTCATGATGGTTGAGAAGCCAAGTTGGGCAGCCTGCCATCTGTCTTGACTCTTCCTGCCCTATTCTGGGCTGTTTTCCTCCTGGAATGGGAAAGGGGTAGGTATGAAAAGAGACGAAAGTGGATGACACACAGCTGTTACTTTTGTTGCAGGTGGTGAGGTAGCCTGAGCAAGGGTGAGTAAGGCCTGAGCAAGGGTGAGTAAGCAGAGCAGGGGGGACCATCAGGGTTAGTGAGAGTGCAGGAGGGAAGATGCTGCAGGAAATAGAAACGTGGGCAGTTATGCAAATTTCCAGCCAGTCAGGCTGACAAAAACCACTATCTTCGGTTTCCAGAAAGTGTCACAATTTTTCTCAGCCTGACTGATCGGCAAACCTCAAAACTGCCTGAGAAACATCTTAATCTGAGAAAGTATCATTGAACTGACAGATTAATTTTGCATTTAAAAGTTCCTGAAGGTTGGAAAGAAGAATCAAAATGACAGAATTCTAAAATGTCAATGTTGGAGGTCCATCATTTGACAGAAATGTCTCATCACTGATCCATTGACTTGGATCTTCCATAATTCTCTAGATGCTAGAGCAGTCCCTGTTAATTGGAAGGTAACAAATGCAATGCTACTATTCAAGAAAGGAGGGACAGAGGAATTAGTCAGTCTGACATCACTATTGTAGAAGGGAAATATAGATTCCATTATTCGGGATATGGTAACAAGAAAACCATATGATTGACGCATAGGTTCGTGAAGTGCACTGAAAACAAATTACTGAAAACAGTGGAAATGTGAAATAAATCCAGCGAGTATACAGCATGTCTTAATGGGCTCCATCCATCCATTTCACTACTGGAGGGAATCTTGAACAAGGTGACATAGTTACAGAATAAGGAGACACCCATTTAACACTAAGGTGTAAAGGTAAGTCTTCTCCCGACATCAGGAATTCTCTACCCTAGAGAGTTTTGAAGACTAGATCACTGAATATATTTAAAGAGGAGGTAGATAGATTTTTGAAATATCTGGGCGTTAACAGCAATGCTGAACTGGCTTTAAAACACAGAGTCACAGATTCATACAGCATGGAAATAGATTCTTCAGTCTAACTAGTCCACACCAACCATGTTCCCAAACTAAACTAGTTCCATTTGCCTGCATTTGGCCCATATCCCTCCAAACCTTTCCTATTTATGTACTTATCCAAATGTTGTTTAAATGTTGTAACTGTACCTGCAACTGCCACTTCCTCTGGAAGTTCATTCCACCACACTAACCACCCTCTGTGTAAAAGGGCTGTCCCTCAGGTCCCTTTTAAATCTTTCACCTCTCACCCTATAAGTGTGCCCCCTAGATTTGAACCGCCCTGCCCTAGGGAAAAGACCTTTGCTAAACACCTTGTCTATGCCCCTCATGATTTTATAAACCTCTTTAAGGTCACCTCTCAATCTCTTAGGTTCCAGTGAAAGAAGTGCCATACTTTCCAGCCTCTCCTTATAACTCAAACCCTGCATTCCCGGCAACATCCTGGTAAATCTTTTATGAAGTGCCTCCAGTTTAATAATATCCTTCCTATAACAGGGCGACCAGACTGCGCACAATACTCCAGAAGAGGCCTCACCAACATTCTGTACAGCCTCAACATGACGTCCCAACTCCTACACTCAAAGGTCTGAGCAATGGTGGCAAGCATGCTAATCACCTTCTTAAGCACCCTGTCAAGCTGTGACGCAAATTTCAAAGAATTATGTACCTGAACCCCTAGGTCTCTCTGTTCAACAAGACTACCCAGGGCCCTACTATTAATTATATAATACTGCCCTTCTTTGTTTTACCAAAATGTAACGTCTCACACTTATCCAAATTAAACTCCATCTGCCACTCCTTAGCCCATTGACCCAATTGATCAAGATCGCTTGGTAATCTTCTTCATTGTCCACTATACCCCCAATTTTGGTGTCATCTGCAAACTTACTGTACTCTCAATTACATTGTTTATATTAATGACAAACAAAAGTGGATCCAGTACCAATCCCTGGGGCAGATCAGTCAGGAACTTGTTGTTTGGTAGGGCAGATTTGAAGGGTTGAATGGCTTTCTCTGCACCCAGTTCCTATGTCCTTGTCCTGTGCTCAATTCACCTTTGGAATGGAACAGTCAAATGAGCTCCCTTTCTCAATGCCTCAATTGGAAATTGGCTGTGGGATTTTCTACTGTCTATTACAAACCTACCTTCGCAAGTCAGTATCCACAAGGGGATTCCTACAGTTTTACATGCTGTAAACAATTTTTAATCAACCTTTTCAGGCATGTTACAACACACCTCTGGAGCAAGTGGAACTTGAACCCAGGGCTTCCGGGCTAGAGACAGGGATTGCGCAGGCAGTAAGATCGGTCTCATCAACAACCTTGTAAATAGAAAGTAAGCAAGCTTAAAGCTGAAACAGGGAATATCAAAGTCATCCCGTGGGATACTAGCTACCCAGATTAGATCATTTGTCACTATATATCACATAAACCCATGAACAGACCTGAAGTTTTGGTCCTGAAAGAGCCGATCTATCTCTGATTACTCTGGAAGGATATGGTATCGCAAATGTCTGAGACACAGTAAACCATTTCCCTTAGACTTTCAGACACATTCAATTGGCTGAAGCACATTGCGTGTTCGCTAAGTAAGGTGCGGGCATATGGTGCAGGTGTAACATTGACATGGCAAAGTGCCATACAATAACATGTCCAACCCTTTGACTGATCACTGATGGCAACCATGACAAGCTAACTAGCTTTATATCTGTATGAAACAGCAAAGCAATAACAGAAGTACTGTGAAGATGTAAGCTCTAAATGCTGTGGCAATGCAAAAAAAAAAGCAAAGGAGAGATGCTGTGAGAATCCAAGTAACTGCAAAGTGAGTAAGTGATAAGAGAACAAAATCAGAGCCCGGAGACAGCCTATGGCCTGAACCATGAGATGCATGGTTCATGCATGAAGTGCCCTGGCAGTAGCTTTGCAACGAAACATCAGGGAGCTCCAACCTGATGTACTGAAGGGCTGAACTGCACTAGAAGTGTGTTGGAGATGTGGTTCAGTGGTTCAGCAACAGGAGTCCAGGAGAGAGCCGGGAAGGTAAGCTTTCGTTATAAAAGTCTTACCTCACGTGACTGCGGCGTTCAGTTGTTCAGCGGAGGAGTCCCAGAGCGGACGCGAGTGGTTGGCTGGGTAACGGTTATCCTTCACCCAATAAAGTTGGGAAGCAGGTAAGCTATTTGCATTTTTTTTCTCATCTCTTTGTTATCTTTCGGGGAGGTCACCTAGATGCCAAATCCTCCGGGAGCGGTTCGGAAGGCAAAACTGGAGTCTGTTTGAGTATATAACGGAGTAAACTGACTGGTGCAGAGAACACTTAAAGAGAGAACACTGCGAAACTAAAAAAAAAAATAATTTTAAATAATTAACTAAGTAGAGATGGCAGGTCAGGTGATGTGTTATAGCTGTATGATGTGGGAGCTAGCTGATTCCATTGAGAACGGCAGTGACCACATCTGCAGCAAGTGTTGGCTGCTTGAGGAGCTCTGGCTCAAAATTGATGAGCTGGAATCCGAACTCCAAACTCTGCGGCACATCCGGGAGCGGGAGTGATACCTGGATGCTGTGTTCCAGGAGGCAGTCACATCTAATAGATTAACTAATGTTAATTTGATCAGTGGCCAGGGACAGCAGTGTGTGACTATCAGTGAGGCAGATAGAGGGACCCTGCAGACAGGAACCCAGGAGCCGCAGCCCTTGACATTGTCCCACAGGTATGAGGCACTTGCTCCCTGCGTGGATGAGGAACAGGGCTGCAGGAAGGATGAGTCAACTGACCATGGCACCATGGTTAAGGAGGCCATTCAAGAGGCGGGGAGCTAAAGGACAGATTGTAGTTGTAGGGGATTCCACCATCGGGGGATAGACAGTATCCTCTGCGAGCAGGATAGAGAATCCCGCATGGTGTGTTACCTGCCCGGTGCCAGGGTGCGAGACATCTCTGACCAGCTTGAGAGGATACTAGAGAGGGAGGGGGAGGATCCAGTTGTTGTGGTCCATGTAGGTACCAACAACATAGGCAGGACAAGGAAAAAAGACCTGTTTTGGGATTATGAAAAGCTGGGAACAAATTAAAAAACAGGTCTTCAAGGGTCATAATCTCTGGATTGCTGCCCGAGCCACGTGCAAATTGGCATAGGGAGGCGAGGATCAGGGAAGTAAACACGTGGCTAAAAAAGAGTGGTGTGGGAAAGAGGGTTTCCTTTTCATGGGGAACTGGCATCAGTTCTGGGACGGGAGGGATCTATACCGCTGGGATGGACTCCACCAGTGTTCTGGCAAAAAGGGTAAATAGGGTGGTCAATAGGACTTTAAACTAGTAAGTAGGGGGGAAGGGAGAAGTGAGCGTAGAGGGAGAATAATAATTAATGGAAGGCAAAGCAGCAGGTTAGCAGGTGACGAGGAAGCTTCAACTCCATTGAAAATTAGGAAAAAAGTTAAAGGGAAGGAGAACTCAAGAGCTGTTAGTAATGGAGGTGACAGGAGTCAAAAAGAAGGGGCAAAAACTGGCATAAGAGCACTTTATCTGAATGCTCGGAGCATACGGAGCAAGGTGGATGAGTTGACGGTGCAAATCATGGCAAATGGGTATGATTTAGTGGCCATTACAGAGACATGGTTACAGGATGGTCATGACTGGGAGTTAAATATCCAGTGGTATCAAACTGTTCGGAAGGACAGACAGGAAGGTAAGGGGGGTGGTGTCGCTCTGATTTTTAAGGATGATATCAGGACGGTAGTGAGAGATGATATAGGTTCTACTGAACAAAAGGTTGAATCCATTTGGGTGGAAATTAGGAATAGCAGGGAGAAGAAGTCACTGATAGGTGTGGTCAATAGGCCGCCAAATAATGACATCGTGGTGGGGCGGGCAATAAACATAGAAATAGCTAATGCATGTAAAAATGGTACAGCAATTATCATGGGGGATTTTAATCTACATATTCGATTGGTCAAACCAGGTCGGTCATGGCAGCCTTGAGGAGGGGCTCATAGAATGCATCCGCAATAATTTCCTTGAACAATATGTAATGGAACCTACGAGGGAGCAAGCTATCCTAGATCTAGTCCTGTGTAATGAGACAGGAATAATTAATGATCTTACAGTTAGGGATCCTCTCGGAAGGAGCGATCACAGTATGGTCAAATTTAAAATACAGATAGAGCATGAGAAGGTTAAATCCAGTACCTGTGTCCTGTGCTTAAACAAAGGAGACTATGAAGGAATGAGGGAGGAGTTAGCTAAGGTAAAATGGGGGCAAAAACTTTATGGTGGGTCAATTGAGGAACAGTGGAAGACTTTCAAAACGATTTTTCACAGTGCTCAGAGGAGAATATTCCAATGATAAGGAAGAACTGTAGGAAAAGAGACAGTCAGCCATGGATGTCTAAGGAAATAAAGGAAAGTATCAGATTGAAAAAAAACACATACAAAGAAGCAAAGAGTAGTGGGAAACTAGTAGACTGGGAAATCTTTAAAGGCCAACAGAAAGCCACAAAAAAAGTTATAAAGGAAAGTAAGATAGATTATGAGAGTAAACTAGCTCAGAATATAAAAACAGGCAGCAAAAGTTTCTATAAATATGTAAATCGTAAAAGAGTGGCAAAGGTAAACATTTTAGAGGATGAGAAGGCCAATTTAATAACTGGGAATGAGGAAACAGTCGAGGCATTAAACAGTTATCTTGTGTCGGTCTTCACAGTGGAAGACACAAATAACATGCCGAAAACTGATAGCAAGAAGGTTATAGCAGGTGAGGACCTAGAAACTATCACTATCACTAAGGAGGCAGTGCTGGGCAAGCTAATGGGGCTAAAGGTAGACAAGTCTCCTGGCCCTGATGAAATGCATCCCAGGGTACTAAAAGAGGTGATGGGGAAAATAGCAAATGCACTAGTAATTATTTACCAAAAAATTCATTGGACTCTGGGCTGGTTCCCACAGATTGGAAAACAGCCAATGTGATGCCACTGTTTAAAAAAGGAAGTAGACAAAAAGCAGGTAACTATAGGCCAGTTAGCTTAACTTCAGTAGTGGGGAAAATGCTTGAATCTATCATTAAGGAAGAAATAGCAAGACATCTGGATATAAATTATCCCATTGGGAATACCCAGCATGGGTTCATGAGGGGTAGGTCATGTTTAACTAATTTGGTAGAATTCTTTGAGGACATTACTTGCATGGTGGACAATGGGGAACCTGTGGATGTGGTGTATCTGGATTTCCAGAAGGCATTTGACAAGGTGCTACATCAAAGGCAGCTACATAAGATAAAGTTGCACTGTATTACAAGTAATGTATTGGTATGGATACAGGATTGGTTGACCAGTAGAAAGCAAACAGTAGGGGTAAATGGGTGTTTTTCTGGTTGGCGGTCAGTGGCTAGTGGTGCGCCTCAGGGATCAGTGTTGGGACCTCAATTGTTTACAATTTACATAGATGATTTGGAGTTGGGGACTAAGCTGGTGTGTCAAAATTTGCAGATGACACTAAGATGAATGGTAGAGCAAAGTGTGCAGAAGACACTGAAAATCTGAAGAGGGATATAGATAGTCTAAGTGAGTGGGTAAAGGTCTGGCAGATGGAGTGCAATGTTGATAAGTGTGAGGTCATCCATTTCGGTAGGAATAACAGCAAAATGGACTATGTTTTAAATGGTAAAAAATTGCAGCACGCTGCTGTGCAGAGGGCCTTGGGTGTCCTTGTGCATGAATGGCTAAAAGTAGGATTGCAGGTGCAGCAGGTGATTAAAAAGGCAAATGGAATTTTGTCTGTCATTGCTCGAGGGATGGAGTTTAAAAACAGGGAGGCTATGCTGCAGCTGTATAGGGTACTGGTGAGGCCACACCTGGAGTACTGTGTGCAGTTTTGGTCTCCTTACTTGAGAAGAGATATACTAGCACTGGAGGGCGTGCAGAGGAGATTCACTCGGTTGATTCCAGAGTTGAGAGGGTTGGATTATGAGGACAGACTGAGTAGGCTGGGATTATACTCAGTGGAATTCAGAAGAATGAAGGGAGATCTTATAGAAACATATAAGATTATGAAGGGAATAGAGAAGGTGGAGGCAGGGAGGTTGTTTCCGCTAGCAGGTGAAACTAGGACTAGGGGGCATCGCCTCAAAATAAAGGGAAGCAGATGTAGGACTGAGGTCAGGAGGAACTTCTTCACCCAAAGGGTTGTGAATATGTGGAATTCCCTGCCCAGTGAAGTGGTTGAAGCTACCTCGCTGAATGTTTTTAAGGCAAGGCTAGATAAATTTTTGAACAGTAAAGGAATTAAGGGCTATGGTGAGTGGGCAGGTAAGTGGAGCTGAGTCTCAAAAAGATCAGCCATGATCTTATTAAATGGCGGGGCAGGCTCGAGGGGCCAGATGGCCTACTCCTGCCCCTAGTTCTTATGTTCTTATGTGCTACAATGAAGTGGTAAGACTGGTGCCTTTCTGATGCCAACTTCGTGGACAAAGAATGCAAGTGGTCATTGCCCATGAGATGTTGGGCCCCAAAAAAGCAAGCAGCAAGCTGGAGCTGCCAAGTATTAGACTAAGATGTCAGGAATTGATGCCATCTAGGAACATTCCACTGCCTGGAAAGACAACAAACTGCATACAAATAAGGCAAGGTAAGAGCATAAGGAAAAAAGAGCAGAAGCAGACCATTCAGCCCATCAGGTCTACTCTGTTATTCAATGAGATCAGGGCCAATCTGATATTCTTCAACTCTACATCCTTGCTTTTTCCCCCAACTCCCGATTCCCTTACTGATTAAGAATGTTACTCTCAGCTCAAATATACTTAATGGCTCAGACTTGAGACACCTCTGTGGTAAAGAATTCTACAGATTCACTATCCTCAGAGAAGAAATTCCTCTGTCTTAAAGTGCAAACCCCTATTCTGAGAATATGCTGACTGGTTCCAGACTCTCCCACAAGGGGAAACAACCTTTGTGCATCGATCCAGCAAATCCCCCAAGAAGCTTTTTTTTTTGAACAAGGTCGCCTCTCATTCTTTTATATGCCAATGATACAGGCCCAATGTATTCAGTCCCTTCTCAAAAGACTGTCCCTCCATTCCTGATGTCAGCCTCGTGAACCTTTTCTGGACTGCTCCAATGCCAGGCCATCTTTCCTTAGGTGAGAGGCCCAAAACTGTTCACAGTATTCCAGCTGTGGTCAGACTACAGCCTTGTATAGCTTTAGCAAGACCTCTCTACTGTTATACACCATTCCTTTCGAAATGAAGGCCAACATTCCACTTGTCTTCCCTAGTACCCGCTGAACTTGGATGTTAGCTTTTTGTGATTCCTCTTTCTGCATTTAAATAATATTCAGCTCCTTTATTCTTTCTGCAAAAGTGCATAATCTAACATTTCTCCTACATTGTAAATAATAATGAAATGTTGATAAGTGCAAATTGGGATGGCTCAGTGGTTAGCACCAAGGACCCAGTTCGATCCACCCTCAGGCAACTGTCTATGTGGAGTTTGCACATTCTCCCCGTGTTTATGTGGGTTTCCTCTGGGTGCTCCGGTTTCCTCCCACAGTCCAAAGATGTGCAGGCCAGGTGGATTGGCCGTGCTAAATTGCCCATAGTATGCAGAGATATGCAGACAAGGTGGATTAGCCATGGGAAATGCAGGGTTATAGGGAAAGGGTAAGGGGTTGGATCTGGATGGGATGCTCTTTGGAGGGTCAGTGTGAACTTAATGAGCCAAATGGCCTGCTTCCACACTGCAGAGATTCTATGATTCATACATTTGCTGTACACTATCAAGAGTTTCACTTCAGCATTAGAACATTGGATGGAAAATCTGTTTTCTTTTTCATGATATTGACAATTGTTTTTCTGATCTTGCCATATTTTCATAATCGACTTGCCATTGTCCAAGTCAGTAAGAGCCTGGAAAGATTCGACCCATAATATTTAGCTAGGCGTCTTGCAGAATTTGCCTCTTCCTCTCGTTTGCAAATCTTGTCAAATATTTTCATGCTTTAAAAAAAGGTTCCAGGTGCTTATTCCAGTATCAGTTCTAAAAACCTGTTAGCAACATGTGGTTGTGCTACAGAGATAAGACAAATAATTATCGGTGCATTTCTAATGGAAGATAATACACAGATGGCTAACTAAATAGAATACCAGTAAAATACACAGAGGGGCTGTGTTATTAAATTTCATTTTTAAACTTACACAGATGGAAGAATTATTGAAAGATAATTAAGCTCACTGGACTAATACATTATAATAGCTGTTTAAAGATTTTCTCAAAGGCTTGCCATTTTAATTATAGTCGTAGGTCATGCTACTTTGGAGGAAGCTCATAATAAGGTGCTGGCAAAAGACAGCAGTCTACATAAAGCATGGGTAAAAAATAGGTTAATATCTTGCCTTCCTTTGATCAGAGTGTGCCACAGAGGTCAGACTGTTTATAACACCTGATAAAGAATGAAGAAAATCCTGATGTGGAATAGCAGAGGTCATTGGGCTATCAGCATGGGGGCAATCCACTAATGGATGTTCCTATGGCTGTAACACCATGGGAACAAGTCAGCTCCAAAAGCACTGGAAGGAGTTACTAGGATCAGATAGCAAAAAAAGGGAAGGAGTCCAAGGAAAGGTCATCGTGGCTTGGACTAGTAATGAAAGGGGCATTTGGTATGTTAGAACTTCATGAAGTTCTGGCCAGGTGTAGGTTAGGAGGCAGCTAGTAGGAAAGAATCTGACATTCTACTGGTGCTCTTTGCTACAACAGTGATCTTGAGTATAAGGGTGGACAGTCCTCAAGTCTAACAGCAGGGGTGGGATCTTAAGTCACCTGGAAATGACAAGTCCAATATCAGCCAATGTTGAGGGCACCCAGGGTTCAACCTGCTGGGTAAATGGTTTGGAGCAGGAGATCCCAATCTGGAAGATGGATCTGATAACTCCTGGTATCATCTCGGTTGGAGTTCAAACCTTCTGACAGCAGGGGGGAGGATCTAGGGTTCTAGTGCTTTGAGGAGTGGGAGCCTGGTGTCAATCAGCTTAAGGGGAGAGGGAAGGAGACAGTAACCTGGGAAAATAGAATGTATCTGCAAATACACAAACATGTTGGATGAAATAATTTGCCCCGTAGATTTGTGTGTGTGTGTTTGAGAGAGAGAGAGTTTGTGTTTGTTTAAGAGAGTGTGTGTGTATGTGTGCGTGTGTGTGCGCATGTGTGAGAGTACATAGTGGTGGGGTCACCTGTAGCACAACATGAACCCAAGATCCCGGTTAAGCCTATCAGCCTCTGCTCAGTGATTTTGCATTGTTGTGTATCTCAAAGTCTGCCTCGGAAGATGCTTACCTGAAGATTAGAGGCTAAATGCCATTGACCGCTGAAGTGATTCCCCACTGAGAGGGAACACCCCTGTCTGGCAACTGTCCAGACCCCTGAAGGTGTTGAAGGACGCCCTCCTAAGAACGGGATACTATGCTCAACTCATCAATCGCCAGTTCCAACATGCCACAGCAAAAAACAATAATGACCTCCTCAGAAGACAGACATGGGATACCACCGATAGGGTACCCTTTGTCATCCAGTACTTCCCAGGAGCGGCGAAACTACACCATGTTCTTCACAGCCTTCAACACATTATCAATGAGCACCTCACCATGATCTTCCCTACACCTCCACTTCTCGGCTTCAAACCAAACCTTGAACAGAGCCCTGTTCGCAGCAAACTACCCAGCCTTCAGGACAACCTCGAACACAACACCACACAACCCTATCATGGCAACCTCTGCAAGACATGTCAGATCATCGACATGGATACCACCATCACACATGGGAACACCCCCCCACCATGTGCATGGCAGATGCTCATGTGACTCGGCCAATGTTGTCTATCTCATATACAGCAGACAAGGAAGCTCGGAGGCATGGTATATTGGAGACACCATGCAGACACTACAACAGTGGATGAATGGACACCGCACAACAATCACCAACAGGAATATTCCCTCCCAGTGGGGGATCACTTCAGCAGTTAAGGGCATTCAGCCTCCAATCTTCAGGTAAGCACCCTCCAAGGCGGCCTTCAAGATACACAACGATGCAGAATCACCAAGCAGAGGCTGATAGCCAAGTTCCGTAACCATGAGGACGGCCTCAACCATCAACTTGGGTTCATGTCGTGCCACAGGTGACCCCGTCACATTATATACTTTCACATACTCACACACACACACACACACACACACACAGACACACACACTCACATGCACACACACACTTGCACTCACATACACACAGAGAGAGGCCATCTCTCTCACACACACACACACACACGCCATCTCTCTCCCTCTCTCACTCACACACACGCCATCTCTAAATCTCTCTCACACACACACACGCCATCTCTAAATCTCTCTCACACACACACGCACGCCATCTCTCTCTCTCTC